GTGTGTGTGTGTGTGTGTGTGTGTGTGTGTGTGTGTGTGTGTGTGTGTGTGTGTTCACTATATATAAAAGCACTCACTCTCTGTCTCTCTCTGTCTGTATGTATGTTCCAGCATAACTCTGGAATGCCTCGAGCAATTTCAACCAAACTTGGTACACAGATGACTTACTCTCTGGAGACAAATACTGTGGGGATAAGACACCCCTAACACCCCTTGGGGTGTGTGTTCTGTTACGATACAGCCTGTTGTGCTTTCAAGTGGCTTCTACTGTACTGCCATTTGCTGCTTGCACAAATGAGGATGCGTATGCTTGCTTGCACGCTTGCCTGCTGTTTCTGCGGCCCGGTTGCAAACCCCTCATAGCACACTAGTGGGTTGGGAACCCTTGGTCTAAGATACCTAAAAGGCACCCCCAAGTCTGAATATAAACTTGGGCTAGGAACGGAAACCATGCACCCTCAATGGATGAAGCTCCCATTCTGGGCTGCTAAGCCAACTGGTGTGATCAGATTTCCACAACCCTCAATTCAGCAAAGAACAGTATTGGGTCTCCTACTTGAGCAGGGGGTTGGACTAGAAAATCTCCAAGGTCCTTTCTGAGTCTGTTATTCTGCTATTTCACCCAAGGCTGTCCCACATTACTCCATACATTACTAATAAGGACTGAAATTCCATTTATCTTCTTTTGTCTTTTCTTCTGGGATATGTAGGGTTTTCTGGTTAGTATAGCTTGCTTGCCTTGCCCACCATCCTTTGGCACCAGGTTGACAATCCCCGATCCCAGAAATCTAGTCAACAGGCATTTAATTTGTGTGAGTATTTTCCTTTTGTTTGCAGACTCAAAGTTAATCTCAAAACTGCTTTACACCCCCTGCTAATAGCCACACGCCCTTGTTTTCCCCCCACCAATCCAAACCAGCCACATTTCCCTGGGTAAGATTTCGATTTGCATTTTTTTGAAAATTTCACCATATGTTCCTTTGATGACAACACATGCCACTCACAAATTGCACAGAGGTTTGAAAGAACACATGCAACCAATTACAGTAAGCTGCGGAAAAGAGTTAAGCAGGGAGGGGACCAATTCAAGACTGGGCAGAGTCGTGTAGGTGCCAGACCCCCACGAGAAAAGCAACAGAGGTCGAGAACATCTGCTCTTGCATCCAGGAGAAAACAGCTGGAAATTTACCCAAGGTATAGCAACTCCTTTCTGGCTG